AGGCAGAACACACTATGACATAAATCACAGCAAGATCCTTTTTGACCCACCTCCTAGAGAAATGGAAATAAAAACAAAAATAAACAAATGGGACCAATGAAACTTCAAAGCTTTTGCACAGCAAAGGAAACCATCAACAAGACCAAAAGACAACCCTCAGAATGTGAGAAAATATTTGCAAATGAAGCAACTGACAAAGGATTAATCTCCAACATTTATAAGCAGGTCATGCAGCTCAATAACAAAAAAACAACCCAATCCAAAAATGGGCAGAAAACCTAAATAGACATTTCTCTAAAGAAGATATACAGATTGCCAACAAACACATGAAAGAATGCTCAACATCACTAATCATCAGAGAAATGCAAATCAAAACTACAGTGGGGTATCACCTCACACCAGTCAGAATGGCCATCATCAAAAAATCTAGAAACAATAAATGCTGGAGAGGGTGTGGAGAAAAGGGAACCCTCTTGCACTGCTGGTGGGAATGTGAATTGGTACAGCCACTGTGGAGAACAGTATGGAGGTTCCTTAAAAAACTACAAATAGAACTACCATATGACCCAGCAATCCCACTACTGGGCATATACCCTGAGAAAACCATAATTCAAAAAGAGTCATGTACCAAAATGTTCATTGCAGCTCTATTTACAATAGCCCGGAGATGGAAACAACCTAAGTGTCCATCATCGGATGAATGGATAAAGAAGATGTGGCACATATATACAATGGAATATTAGCCATAAAAAGAAACGAAATTGAGTTATTTGTAGTGAGGTGGATGGACCTAGAGTCTGTCATACAGAGTGAAGTAAGTCAGAAAGAGAGAGACAAATACCATATGCTAACACATATCTATGGAATTTAAGAAAAAAAAATGTCATGAAGAACCTAGGGGTAAGACAGGAATAGAGACACAGACCTACTAGAGAATGGACTTGAGGATATGGGGAGGGGGAAGGGTAAGCTGTGACAAAGTGAGAGAGAGGCATGGACATATATACACTACCAAACGTAAGGTAGATAGCTAGTGGGAAGCAGCCGCATAGCACAGGGAGATCAGCTCGGTGCTTTGTGACCACCTAGAGGGGTGGGATAGGGAGGGAGAGGCAAGAGGGAAGAGAGATGGGAACATATGTATATGTATAACTGATTCACTTTGTTATAAAGCAGAAACTAACACACCATTGTAAAGTAATTATACTCCAATAAAGATGTAAAAAAAAAAAAAAAAAGCCTTGCAGAGGCGTGGCCAAAGCCTGGAGGGGGGTGGGAGGCAGCAGGGGGCGTCCAGACAGGGCCAGAGACCCCTGCTGCCTCCAGAGCCTGGCTGGGAGAAGCCAGGGCCAGACGTGCCACCTGAACAGGAGAGACTGCCCCAAAGGCACTGCCAGTGGAGCAGCTTCAGCACCTGGGGGAAAACACCAGGGTAGGGGTGTGTGGTGAGCATCCAGGCCACATCCAGATGGGCCACCTGCTCTGAGAAGCCCACACCAATATTCTCCTAATGGAAGTTATGCCACGTACAAATACACTATATAAAATGTGTATCAAATGATGACATCAGTTTACACAGAAGCCCTATTTTCTCCGTGCACCCCAAGGGATTATCTGATGGACCCCCAAGGCTGCACCCACACGGTCTGAAGACAGCTGCCCTTAAGGCTTCCTCTCGACCTCAGGGCCTGGCTTAGACAGAGCTGCCCACTCAGCACCCCGGCCACCTCCACCCTGATCCTCAGCCCTATTACTGGGGTTACGGTTTTGCTGTTAGTGAGGAAGGGCCCTTCTTGGAGCTCCTGGGTGCCCAGCTTTGATTTCCCTGTGATACTTTTTTAGAAAACACGTTCAGTCTTCAGTGGTTTAACAATTAGTATCAGATTACTTGTCACACACCCTCATCTGCCAGCTCACGGCCCCCTGGGGTGAGAATTAAAGGCTGCTTTAGGCTATAGATGGTGTCACTTGTCTGCCAGCCTGGGAGAAAGGCCTAGAAGAGCTCATCCTACAAGGACAAGACGAGGGAATCTGGAGGGAGGGAGGGGCAGGGAGGGGCGGCCTTCCTGTCCCTGAGGAGGGCTTTGCTGAGCTGACCTCAGGGTGGTCAGATGTTGGAAAGTCAGGCAGTGGTGGAGACCCAGGCGCTCCCTGACCTCCAGCTCCCCATCTGCAGACCCCTCATTCACACTCGAGCCCTCCCTGGAGAGGGAGGGGGCCAGCCCCGTGTCCAGCCCATTGTACCAAAACAGGGGCTGGAGTTCGGGGCTAAGACTCGGTTGCACTGTCACCCCCATGGACCTCCAGCCCACAGCCCTGCAGTATTAATAGTGTTTATCTGCAGGCACAGGTATGAATGGAATTTCAGCCACCACCCCCAGACTCCTACCAGAGTACTCACTGTTGCATTCACACCCCGGACCCAAGCGCTCAGATGTCACTGTGCAAATATTTCTTGGCCTGGTTTTCGGGAAGCATCCAGCTAAACAAATATCCCCCAGCCCGTGCTGCCAGCTCTTGATGACAACCCACAGTCAGAGAGCCTCACATATGAGCGACCTGTGGGACCACCCCCACGTGGTGCAGACTTGGACTCTGGAAGCTAGGGAGGTCCTACTGGGAAAGTACCCCATGCCAGAAACGCCTTCGAATTTTCATCAAGCTCTCTCAGTTGCGAAAAGCAGAGACCCACTGAAGGTAGCACCAGGAAAGAGACAAGGGGGGTTCCCTGGAGCCCTAGGGCAGGGACCGCAGTGCACAGATATGGGGCCGAAGCAGCCATGCATCCGTGTTTGGTGATGGAGTCAGCACCCAGACTGAGCTCAAAGGCCACTCTACCACTGGCTGGCCCTGTGCCCTTGAGCAAGTGACCTACCCTCTCTGTGCCTGTCTCCTCATCTGTAAAGTAAGGATAATCCTGGAATAGTGCCTGCTTTGTGGACTGTCATGATGATTAAGTGAGAAAAAACATGGAAAGAGCCTAGAACAGTGCCAGGCCCATAATAACTACTGGATACCTGTGTGATGATTTTCTCTGCCCCGCCTCTTCCCTCCTCCTCTCCCTGCTGGCTGACCTCGCTCACTCAGAGATGCTGCCATGGGACTACGTTCAATCTACATACCCTGGCTGGCCTTCCACCTCCACTGCTGCAGCGACACCCCTCTGTGCATCTGAGCTTAGATTCTTGGATGAGACGATCCCACTGGTCCCGCTCATTTTTCCATGGGTCCCTAAGAACAACCAGCTGTGACCAGGGGATGGGCCTCAGGACACAAAATATGGCTGCCTGAGCAGCTGGAGTTCCGGGTGAGCAGTAACGGGCCCCTTCTGAGACCCTGCATCAGCCCATCATTCCCTCAAGCCTTGCCCTCCTGGGCACTCGGTACGATGCAGGTTCCCCCGGAGGAGGAAGACAACAGAACTCACACCCCCTTGAACACCCACCCCACCCCTTCCCTATCATTGTCACTTATGGTACATCATGGGGGCTCCTGTCCTGTCTCTTCTCTTGATAGCAATGACAATCCTAACATTCTCCCTCTACTATACTAGGCATAAGGCACTTTGCTTATCGGTGGACTCTCTCCCCGACACTGCTCCTTTGGTAGTCAACAACCTAGGGAAGTGGGTTTTGTCCCCATGAAAGGTGACGAGACCATGGCGCCTCCACTCACAGCTAGGAATATGGCAAAGCTGAGAGTAAGGTCCTCACCCACAGAGCCAGCACCAGCTCACCAGACGATGGGAGAGAGGAAGGCAGTGCCTGTCACTGAAGCAGCAGAATGACCAGGAATCCTCCAGCAGGGGAGAACGGCCGATGCTCAGTGCTGCCTGCCACCCTAGCCCCCTCTGCAGCCGGAGAGGAGGTTCCTTAAACAGAGACCACTCAACAAGCTGGAAAGTCCCCCAAAGAGCAAGAGGGTTCTCAAGATGTCAAGCAACCCGGAAACAAGAAAAGGTCACCATGGGAGCTGTGCGCCGGGCCATGTGACCCCACCATCCTGCCCACCAGCTGACTGAGCCATGGGTGGTTTCTAGAACCAAAGTTCCTCCTCTGTGCACTGGCCCACAGCCTATGAGGTGGCCTGGGCATCCCACACAGAGACCCCCAGACTGGTGGTGACCGTCCCTGCTCTCTCACACTCTCACTCATTCTCTTCCCCCCTTAACTGTCTCTGGAATTTGGCAAGAAGTAAGTCATTGTGGGCCTCTTTTAAAAACATATTTTTTTCCGAACCATCTGAGAATAGGTTGCATAAATCATGCCCCTTTACCCCTTAGTAATTCAGTGTGTTTTCGCTAAGAACAAAGGTCCTTGTCTTACATACCACAGCACAGTTCACAAATGAGGGAATTTAACCCCGACACAGTATTTTTCTCTCCTCTCCCGTCCATATGCCAGTTTGTCACCACTGCTCCTTGTAGCACTGTCTTCTCCTGGCCCGGGTCACATATTCCACTTAGTTGTCACATCTCTTTAGTCTCCTTTAATGTGGAATGGTCCCTCCACCTCTCCTTGCCTTGCATGACAGTGCTGAAGGGTGCAGAGGGTCTGGCCTCTGCAGTGAGAGTTGGGACAGAGACAGAAGCAGTTGGTGGTGGGAGCAGAGGCTGAAAAGCAGCAGAAGCCAAGGGCCAGAGGCAAGAAGGAAGAACAGCTGGGCAAGAAGATAGAAAAACGCAGAGCAGGTGAATCTCCATAAA